AGAGAGAGGGAGAGAGAGAGAGACCAACGGGGGAAAATGCCCCTTCCACTGACACCAAAGCCTTTGCCCTCATAGTGCAAAAGAGGGTGGGGGGCGCCTAACGGCACAGGTCTGCGAACCAGACCTGCGCCCAAGCGAATGAAGGAAGAGATAGATAGATAGATGGATAGATAGATAGAAACAAATAAACGTTGCCATCAAGGACGTGCATGAATGCCTTTTCCTGGAGGTCTTTCTCACCGAAGCGGGCTCCGACGGCATTGATGTTGTCATGAACAGCTTTCATCACGACGACTACCTTTCCCGGTCCCTTGCTCTTCTGCGACAGGGCGGGCGATTCATTGACATCGGCACATGTGGCACGGGGAATCGTCAGCAGATCCTACAAGCCAGGCCAGATGTTCAGTACTACCAGGTGGAAGCGCACACCATGATGTCGGAGGAGCCATGGCATTACAATGCCTACATGCAGCGCCTCATCAGCCGGATTGAGCAAGGCGTGGGGGTGGCAATATGATGGCTTAGAGTGTATCGTCAGCATTCTCATCCATCTGGATAGTTAGACTACCAAGCGTATGTCGACATGAGATGGTTTCTTCGAAAACGCATAGTCTTTTTGTGACAGGTGGCGTGAACCCCATGAACATGCAGGTCTTCTGCAACTTGCAATCACTTGCAAAGGCATTGCAATGCCTGGAGAGGTCTCAAAGCGTCGGACAAGTCGTCATGACTCAGCCAAGTGTGCTCAGTCTGAAGCCGCAGTCCGATTATGTCTTAAGCGGTGGAATGGGAGCACACGCGATTGCAATTGCGCAGTACCTGATGGAGGAAGGAGCAAAGTCAATCACCTTGTTGTCAAAGACCGGTCGGCCCTCCCCAAGCGTCGGTGGGCTGTGGCAATCTTTGCACGATTCCAGTGTTCAGCTTCATGCCATCCCTTGTGACATCGCCATGATGGATGATGTGCATGCTTTGGGGTGTCAGCTCCGTTCCAGGGAAACAGAGATTGCAGGCCTCTTCCACCTTGCCGAGACTACCAACGATGCGATAGTGCCCATCGTTGTTCGCGACCACTTGGAGCGGTCTTTTTCGACGACAGTGTGGGGGGCCAGACATTTGAACCTCTTGCAGCACGCGGGCGCAACACCCTGGGACTTCTCCATGCTCGTCTCGTCCGCCTCATCTTTGCTGATGGCTGCAGGACAAGCAAGCAATGCCACAGCCTGTGCAGCATTGGATGGCCATGCGAGGTACTGGAAGAAGGCCGGAGAGCGAGTCATGTCCGTGCAGTGGAGTTCATGGAAAGATGATGTGGGCATGGTCGACATTTGCCTTCATCCCACATCCAAAAGCAATGTAGCCGTTCAGTTGGGAATGGCAGCTATGGCTGGATGTTTGCAATCACTGCAGATACCACGCCCTCTGACCATGGTAGTAGGGCCACTGCCTTGGGGCAGTTTCCTGAAGCGGAAGCAGTGAAGCTGCAGTCGCGTAGTTAATGCTAATTCGCTTCGTCATGAGTGAAAGACCATCACGAGTCATCTATCAACTGCCTTTGGGCACTGTCATCTCAGGAAGATTTCGCGTGGTCATCGTGAAGCAGGGCAGTCCAACTGTCACACCAGATGGTCAATTTCGTAAAGCTCATGCCGCAAGCGAAGTGGCTTGCCGGAACATGAGGCATAGCCCTAGTTTAATGTTCCTGTGTCGCTTGCAAAGCAATGCAGACAAAGTGTTTCAAGTTTAGGTAATGAGTCAGAAGTCCCGTCCTGGGCCTCCGGCCGTGCATCAAATCCTGCCCCGCGCATCAGCTCCCCGTACCAATGATACAGGGACAGCCCCAGGGCAGCCAGCATGGAGAGGCATGAGCCATCGTCCACACTCGAACATCTTGGACTAGGAGAACGAACGACATAAGAGCCCCCAAATAGATGTCATTCAGTAACGGACGCTGCTCGGAACGTTTCTATGTGCTTTCAGATTTACAGTCTACACTGCCGAGATGAGATGATGGTGACTCAGAGGCTCCATCTATTTTGCTGACAAAGGCAGTTGTTCTGTCTCGTCGCAAGTGAGCGATCCAAATTCTCCAAGTTTTGGTCATCAGTCAGGAGCCATGGATCGAATCTTGCACCTCACATCAGCTCCCTGTATCCATGAGAGAGGGACAGCCGAAAGGCAGCCAGCATGGAGAGGCATGAGCAATCGTCCATGCTTGAATCTCTTAGATTAGGAGGAGGAATGACGTAAGAGCCCCAAAAGTGGTGCCCTTCAATAACAGAATAAAATAATGACCGTCTTGGCTGGACCCCTCCAAAAATACATTTATCGCTCACACGGTCTCTCTCCCTCTCTCTGCCTCCCTTTCTCTCGCATGTTTCGATACTAGGAGTTTTGACGGATGCCCGTCGACAACCTAGCAACGATGATTGATTGAACGCATTGATTGAACGCCTGGACTTGGCCGAGGAAAAGATGTTGTCATGCAGCCAGTCGAGCGATAGACGTGTTTTGCTGCCCGGAGCACAGCACTTCTTTAGTTTTGCGTGCAGCGGTTTGAGAAACCTGCCTCGACCCGTTTGTGATGCACGCCGGCCCATGCTTCAAGGCTAGCGGCTAGACGACCCCTGCCTCTTTGGTGCGTTCAGGGCTTTGCACATTTTCTTGGCCACGAACGATTTGCACAAGAGGGCTGGCTGGACTTCAATGACCGGCCATGCATTGGATCTAGCAGCCATAAACCAGCTCCCTGGTCTAAAACATCACATCCGCTATGTTGCTTTGGACGAGTATCAGATGTACTTCAGATTGCGGTATGACTTCATCGTGAGGGAGAAGCAGTGGCTTCCTGAAAACCCCAATGAAGTTGACGTGGAGATGGTGGATGCATTGCCTGACGTCCATCATTTGCTGATCTTCACCAAGGATGAGCTTGGACAGCCCTTGCAACTTGTTGGATCATTGAGGCTCGGATTTACATCAATCCTGGAACATACCTTGGCGGGAAGCCGGTCAATGCAGCAATTTCTGACGACTTCTGACAGGTTGCAGCTGCAAAAGTTCTTTCAGCAAGGAGACGTTCTCGAAGTCTCACGGTTATGCGTGACCAAAGACGCGGATGCTGCTGAACGCAAGGATGCCATGAAGACCACACAGCTTTTATCAGTTTTCTCGAAGATGTACTGCACACCATCGCCCGTGTTTGTGCTGTTTCAGGCTTTCCAGCGTGAAGCTGAGATCGCCACGACTGACTTGGGTCCAGGAATTGAATGTGCATTTCGGACCGACACGAATGGTTTGATTACATCTGTCTTCAGCATGCGTTGCTGAGCCGTCTCTCATAAGTCTAAGTTTGTCTACATCTTGGGTCAGCATTGGTCCAAGTTCGATACGGCGGAGAACGAATGTGGTGAGCCTTCCACAGACCGGGCTGCCTGAAATCTTGGTGATCCGGGAGGGCATCGATTGCTTGGAAGCTTCAACCTGGACAAGACGAAAAAACTGGCTTGTGAAACCATAGCTTGTCAGACATGCATGCGTTTGAGAGAAAGTCTTGGAGTTGAACTCTGCATCCGCCAGTCCGGTTGGCGTTCGGCAGCTCGAGTCGGCACTAATGTCTTCAGTCAAGAGATCAGTCGATGCACAGATGAGATGTCACAAGGACTCAGAATCACTTGTACTTGTAGCAGAACAGCGGCAATACAGATTCGTCAGTCAACGGCCCGCTGACCAACCGAAAATTGACTAGCGGAGGCGGAGGCAGCACATGTCACTCTACACATCCTGACAACTGCTGAGAATGATCGGCTACCTCACTCCGATATGTGTCCTCTCCGAGTGCGAGGGATGGGATGCCTAGATGAAAACGGCAAGACCAGCGGAGGCAGCAAAGCACGTCGACAGACAGCTAGCAGCTAGCTTGTTTGGGTTTCTTCGTAAAGAAGTCCGCAATCGCCCGCATGAACACAACGTTTGGTCAATCTGATCTTGCCACGAGCATGGCTGCATTATATGCCAACAACTTGGGTAAGGTTGGGAGCATGCTTTCCAGGCTTTTTTTGAATTGCAGTTCTCGTACAACCTGTAGAACTGTAGAACTCTCTGAGCTTGCATTCTTGTGGCAACAGTGATTTTGCGCCGAGGCAATCGAAGTTGCCCATCTTCACATATTTCCTGCGAATCAGAGTTACATGGCCGACCTGGTTCCAGTTGAAAGTGAAAAGTAGCTGGAGAGAGAAGTGTTGCAGCCAGTGCAGCAGAATAGTTTAGGAAGCGGCTTGGCAGGGATTCAGTCTAGCCATGATGCAGGATGGTCGGGCTGCAAGCAGATGTGTCTACATCAGCTGAATGTTAGGTGCTCTGTACTCTGCACTGCTTTCACAGCGTTTGACACCACAGCCATGAGCGATGTTGACGATGACATCAAGAAGCGTTCCACGTCCAGAAATGCTGTCCAGGCCACGCATCGGATATCACATGTGTTCAGTGCTGATAGAAGATGGAGCAGCATGCTTTTTCCGACTCTCAGGAGGGCCTTAGTTGGAAAGATATCGCATGGTTAATGAGCCTCGCTTGCAATTTCCCTCGCCAGCCTTGGTGTTTGAGTGACCCTGCTACATGCAGGTTATCTGACATTGTGGGAACGTCAGTATTGACACTGAATGGTGTTGCCGTGCGGGCCTTGGTATTGGTAGGCACAACAAGTCGCTGTCTCATTATTCAATTTCACCCGGATCCTTTGATTTCACTCACTGCAAGACCCTCTCGCTTCCTTGTCTATGTCGACACTGAGGCCAAATTGGGATGGGTGTTGACGATTGCTTTCATTGGCGGGCTTTTCCCGGTGGCTCTTTATTCTTCCTTGCTCATGAGCAGGCAGGGCTCGAACATGTGCGCAAACAAAGTCGTTGTCCCCAAGATGAGTCGCGCTAGCGTGCGCAAGTACATGAATTGTCAAGTTGATGCCGTTGTGCGTAGCGGCCGATTGTAAACCGGTTATCAAACAGACCTTGTGCGCTTGCGGAGGACACGTGGTATACTGAGTCGAATGTTTGGTACCGACAAGACAGTTGGTCTCGGCACCATGGGAGAGGCGTGCATTGCAGTTTGCTTGTCAAGATTGTCGTGGCTTTAGGAAGAGTTGGCTGGTTCCTCAAGTCATTCCAGACAGGTAGAGGCTTGGAAGAGTTGTGTTTCTTTAGTGAAGACTTCTGCGGACTGCATGGCATCTGCAGATAGCAGCTTGTGTTTTCGACTCCCAGCGAGCGGGGCAGATAGCACCTTGGCGGCCAGCAGAAGTGTTTTCAGAAGCACCGGCTGTTGCTTTCCATTGTAAAAAAACCCGAGGATGGGTCGTTGCTTCCCAAAGTGACGGTGCCGCTGACTCAGGTCATCATTATTGTTTATGGCTACACTGCTCTGGGCCAAGCTTCTTACATGTTCCTCTGATGCACTCGGGTCACTCCTCATCAGAATGGTCCGTGTTTGTGATATGTGCGAAGAAGCTGGTAAGAGTATGCAAGAAGCATGAGTCGCGACTGACTGTTGGATGCTCTCAGCTTGTGGATTTGCCTGCAAAGGCTAGTTATGGGACGAGCGCTTCAGCGACGTGGCTGATCTTGGAATAGGCAACAATTGTCGAGAAATGCGAGACCACCACTAAAGGAAGCGCGTACGGTGCAGCTAGCTTTGGCCATGCCAACATTGCCAACATGCTTACATGTTGTTTGCATAGTAAGCAGCATCTGAGGATGTCGCTCTATGACTTGCCGCTCTGTCTCCCTGCAGCGGTCCTTTTAACTATTGTGGCCTTGGTGGTTCCAATTTTCGGAGTTCGGAAGTGACCTGGCTGCACTTGCCAGAAGCCAAAGTTCGGCGAGAAAGTCATGGTGGACACATGCACAGAACGGATTGGAGATCGTTTGTTTTCCAGGCTCAGCGAGTCCGTGCTTCGGCTTCATTTGGCGCATGCTTCTGTGCTGCCGAAAGCATGTCTCTGCAGAGTCGATATTGAATGCAGATCGGCCTGGAGGTGCCACTTGCTTTCTTTAACTCGCTGCTCATCGTAGCTGTGATAGTCTTGCCCTCAGCACCGGTGAGGTGCCGGAACTGCACTGACAATGCGGCTGGACCGTGGGCAACCAAGGTTCTTGCTCTGTACCGCGCCGGAACAACTACGCCACCATGCCTCTTGACTCTTAGAGATGCACATGCAGAAAAAATCAGCATCGGGGGGGCGAGTTGCTGGATTTGGCCGTTTGCTCTGCGATTCGACCTCCTGGTATGACTCAGGTCCCCACACCTTCTATTTTGATCCAGGCTCGCACTAGCGATGAATGTTAGTGTCTGCCTGACTTGGATGTGACGGAAGCCCGACAGGGCGAAACATAGGATTTGGAAAAGCATGCTGCGCCAGGTTTGAGTGGAATGGTTGTATTGGGCGCTGCTACAAATGTGGCCTGGATAAGTTACTGGAGCATGACCCAGCTGTTAGTCTTTTGCGTCTGAGGTTGTTTACAGCTATGCCGGGCAGTGGATGTACTTTGAACTGATGGACACGATGGCAGCTCCGGAGGATTGCCTTCCGCTGATGAGTTGCACGTTTGATCTTTCGACTGGCTGCAATCTGATTGCTGTGCAGGACTTCCCAAAGTCCTTCTCCATTGCAGGTGGTGGTATGACTAGACAATTCAATGTCGAAGAAGTTATGAGTGTGAGAGGGGGTGTGCTTAACAGCTCGAGAAGGTAGTTGTAGGGAGATTCCTGAAAGTCATCAGCTCCTCAGCCAGGGATCCGGCTCAGTCCCCAAATTTCGCGAACTCGGTTGCAGGTCCTTTCATGCTCATCTCGTACTTGGCCGTGGTGCCCTGGCTTTACCCGTTGGATAGGCGGCTCGCATAATATGCTTGTCAGGCCTGCCTGGGGTATGGCTTCGGATCGGGTTCCGGCGACTTGATCGCCGGCATGCCCCATGGTCCGATGCTCCAGGCCTGGAGAAGTTTGGTGCACGCTCGACGGGGGGGGAGGAGCTGAGAGCTCCCCTTGTCCCCTTGTCGTTGCTTCGAGCCCATGGCACAAGTCGGGCGAAGTTGCCAGGCTGCGGCGGCAATGCTCTTCATCCACGTCCTGATCGTCTACTTGCCGGACGCTCACATGCATCAGTGGTCGTGCGCTTTCCCAGACTTGGCCGAGGATCAAAAGTGTCGTGTTGGTTCACTTCTTGCATGGATGCTGGAAACCGAACCAGGCTCGCCGCATTTCTCAATCGCACGGCTTGCAGCAGGGGCTGTTGCCAGGTGGACGCACGGGGACTCCGCTCGTACGTTCAGCACGGAGGCCAGGACACCGAGTTGCGTTTGCTTCTGACACAAAGACGGATGGATGTTGGAGGGAATCTTAAGTGACATATGACATGACGCCGTCCCGGGCCTTTTCTGAAACGAGGCTTAGGCGTCCTCCTCCTCTTGATGGGCTTCGTTGTGCTGACATCTCAGCTTAAATGCCCAACTCCGGTTGTCTGTAATGCGCATGGGATCTCAGGTCCAACATGGTACCCTTCTTCTCCCAGCTGCTGGGCATCATCGGAGGCCTTTTTGCAGGCGGCTCTTTGCCGAGCTTGTCGATGCTGTGGGGTTGCAAGTGACTGCAATTTGAGAGGGATTCGGCCGAGGCCGAGGTGTATGTTCCAGCAACCTTCTCGGCTCGGGATGTGTTTATGTCTGACGACATCGTTATCTAGTTACTAGTTTCCTAAGATGTCCTGAGCAGAGTATCCATGTAGAAGAACAGCAGTTTTGGCATGTGTGAACTGCAGGACCCATTGGGTTCCTCTTTCCGATCACCTTCTTTCTCTTGGCACGAGGCAGTACATCCTTCATGTGCTTCATGCAGCATCGGCTCTTCTCAGCAAAGCCACCAATGGCTCCCAGGATGCTTTTGCAAACTGAGCTTTGCACCAGGACGAGAGGTTCTTGCCGGAAGGGAGGAGCATGAAAGTCTGCCTATGGAACTGCAGGCGCTCTTTGCTCCGAGAGTCGACATGGCAACTGCAAGTTAATGAAATGCTGTAGCTGGCAGTCAAGGCATCTTCAGAAGAAGTGGCCATGTGCGGTGGTGATGATGACAAAGAGGAAAGCCTCTTCCTCAGAAAGGAGTAGAACGTGCTGTTGTCGCCAATCACACGGTTGGAATGTGGGCACAGGCACAGAAACAAGTTCCTTTGCAAGCTACGAGACTGAACTGGGTGGTGGAAGATGCAGGCACGCGGCGGCAAATTTTGTTCTGGCTCATTGAACATAATAAAGGCTTTGTGTTGTTCTCCTCGGGCTGCTCTTCAGAGCCACAGATCGAAACCACTCAGAGGGACCGTCTGCATGTTGTCCTGATCTGAGAGCTTTTGTTTTTGGAATCCTGTTGAGATGAGATGTAATGATAAAGGAAGGATACCATGCCGGACGCACACGATAAGTTGCATCGTACTGGTTCATGAGAAGGAGAGACATAAATGCACATGGGCAAGCAGAGCGGCGCTCGCACTTCTCATTAAGATTGTGGTGGATCAGTCCCATAATCAAGCTGATGGCGGGGTGGTACAATGTGGCACGCGCGGGATCTCTGTGGGACGCTCTTATTTCTTCGGGTGGGGCCGAGGCCTGAGGTGCTGCTTCTGCAGGTTTTTGTGTAGCTAGCAAGACTACACTTGTCGGGAGTCTTGCAACGGCGGACGAAGACTCTGCATGCCTGGCAACTTCAATTTTACAGGTACCTGGTGATCGGTTTCAACTCGCTTCCGCTCTGGGAGCGGACTACGATCGTGGGTACAGCAGGATGCCAAGCGGTTTCTTTTCCGTGTGCCAGCTGAGCGTTTCACGGCTGTCTGTAGCAGCCGTAGCAGGTGTTATTCATCGTAGCCACGATGGTGTTCGGAGTTGCGGACGAGATCTTCGAGGTACCGGTGCCGTTGTCAGTAGGACAGTAGGAAATGGGGGATGCTTAGAAAGGCTTGCTCATACAGCAGTCATAGTTGAAATCTAAACGCAATGTGTGACACTGCTGAGTTACTGCTGTTTCTCTTGCACATGGCGGGTGCAAGCGGGAATACAACACATGCTTTGCACCGACCAGGTTATAGAGATGTGGGACCGCTTGGGAGCTCCTTTCCAGTGCCACCACCTGCAGCCACCGTAGCTGAGCTGCAGTGCTGATGCCTGTTCCATCAACCCAAGCCAACGGAGCACCAAGGAGTCGCCCCACATGCGCTGGCTGAGCCCCCTTCGTGTTTCACTAGGTTTCACATAATACCGGTAGCCAGCTTGATCTTGATCAGGAAGGAGCCTCGTAACTATCTGCGCAGAGCTGCATCATGCCCTCTCGGGCATAGTCTCGCGGGGGACCGGTCGCCGGCGGAACAGCTCGTGCTGCGTTTTTCGTGTCTGCTACTGTGATCGATGAGAGACTGAAGCCACGCTCCATGTCTTTGATGCAAAAGTGCTTGCTCATTGCTGCCGAATGCTACTTGGTTCAGGCCTTTGAGAAAGTGTAAGGAATAGCAGCCTTTGGGAGTAGCAGCCAGAACTCTGCACACATGGCGGCGTCGATCGACGAGCTCATCAACGCCAACGCTGCTTGACTATAATAAGAGCAGCGAGCATGAGATCTTTCTTACAAAGTTTTTCTGCCATACTTCGCAGCCAGTGGGCTTGTTGTGTGGCTTGATGCCGTTGCTGGCCTGCCTTTCAGCTTTCCTGATGGGAATCCCATCGAGGACATGGTGGTCTTCTCGAGCAGCAGCTGCCCTTTCTGTCGGCAAGCTCTCTCTGCGCTGCGTGATGCAGGCTTGGGCTGGCGACGGGTTTTTGAGCAGCATCCTTGCTCCTTTCATGCAGGCTACACGCCAAAGGTTGTGGAAGATTTTGACCGAAGCGCCCTGAGTGCCAAGTGTGGCTCCACAAGCGTCCCCAAGGCCTGACACACTGCACTGTCGGCAGCTTCTGTGAATGATGCAGATCTGCAAGCAGACATTTTGGGTTGGGGCAGGTCTTCGTCAAGCAGAACTTCATTGGAGGAGCACCTTTCATACTTGGGAGTCGTTGTGCGAGCGTGCCCGCTGAGACGATTTTAATTGCAAGCAGAGGCAATGCTTGTCGTGACGCTTCAGAGCAATTCAATACTGCCTACTTCAGTACGAGGAACTGTTTGTGAGTTGCTGTTTCCGACATGAGTGGGTGCACTGCTGAAGCAACTGATTACTCTGCTCCGCAGGTTGCAACGACGGAGGCATGGGAGGCACACTGCCTCTCCTGAAGAACGGCAAAATCAAGGAGCCAGCCAAAGTCTGCTGTTTCTGGTGAGTTTGATCTGTTGCCACGGTTTAGCATGGATTCCATAGTTTGTCGCCAGCGAGACACATGTAGCGACTGTTGCCAGGAGCTTATGGGGAAGTGAAATCAGCCAGGGCAGCAGCTGTCGAGGCGGTTTTGGTTTCGTTTGATCAGACTCAAACGAAACTCTTCGATTCATATCTGAAGTCTTTTGACACAGCACATCCTTTTCCGAGGATTTTTCGGAAAGATGATGCTGTGCAGGTGTGGGGGACGTACAAGAACATTGCAGGTTTTGGATGCCTTTGATGTTGGCCAATATGAAGCTGTTCTTACATTTTCACCTACACCTGGTGACTTCGGGCCGGATACACAGGTGGGTCAGTAGAGACTGCCCGGTGTAGGCCCCTGCGCGCGGAGGAGCTGGGCACCAGTACAGCAGCTTCTCAACGAGGGTATACTCGAAAAAAATGAGGGCTGGTCTGGATTGATGGCAGACCATGTGCAGGAACCTCACAAAGTCTAGACGGACATAGGTAGAAATTGCCGAAGTTGGGAGGAGCAAATCTAGCGGTGAGCGAGGAAGCTTAGAGTTCATGTTTGGGCCGGCTATACCCCTGTGTTTTGGGCTGAGCCACAGTATGAACTCTCCGTTGTGGCTGCTTGGGCTCTGCAGCAAGTTTTTTGTCAAATCCTTTTACATCGAAGTTGTTTCATGGCAAATGCTGCGCTGGGCCGGCTGCTTGCGGCAGTCGCAGTCGTGTTGAGGACCGGTGCTCGAACGGTACAGGAATTTCGGCGGTAAAATTTGTTGATCTGCATTAAGGCTTCGGACTGTGCAAGGTGTTGGGAGCTCCACCTAAAGTGAGCGGCATGAGGGCCGCCTGGCGAACCAACCGCTCTGCAGGAACAGCTCGACATTCCAGCCTCTCTGTTTGCACCCATCTGATTTGATTTGAAGGAGTGCGCATGCAGTCCGCAGCCTGCAGCGTGAGCCATGCTTGTTGGAGGAGGGGTACTGCTTAACACTTAGACACAGCCTCCGGGAGGTTCATGTGGCTGCCAATGGAGTGTAAATAAACTTCCGACAGCACGAAGGCGACGAGGTTCGTATGTCGTTCAAGTGCATTGCATCCGCGGGACGGCTGTCTAAACTCAAGGGGTGAACTCATCTCGAACTTGCATGCAAGTGCCACTGATGGAAGTGAGATGATGCCTGCAGGAGCAAGCCATACGCATTGAGTACAGCGAACCAGGCCACATTTTTGGCACATGTGCTTAAGGGAAATACGGGTGGAATTCGATTCCGTTAGATGCAGCCAGTTGCAACTAACACACGCTAGGGTTTGCAAGTTCTCGTCCGGCATCACCAGTCCTGCTACTTTGATGCATGGGTGATCATGAGTGTGTCTCGGGTTGACGAATCAGCGCGAGGCAGTCTTAACCAGGGCGAGTTTGATTTGGTCAAGATCTCCTCGTGGAATGGATGCATGCCGGCACTTCATGAGCAAGATCAGCTGTTCTTCTTGTTCTTGTGTCGCAGCTGTGACGCCTTGGCACACCTTTGGATGGTGATTCAGCTCAGGAAATCGCATAGTGACAAAGAGTTATGGCCTTTATACTGCAAGAAGCTTGTATAATGTGCCCCGCAGCGCCGAGAGATTCATGCCGTGGTGTCCTCTGATGTTGGAGTGATTTGCAGGTGACTGCAAGGTGGATTATTCGGCGACGTGCATCGGAACGTCGGTGTCCTTGGTATTGGAAGATTCCGGTGGCACTCGGAGTGACACCAGGCTGGTCTGGCGGGATGTGCTTGAGGTTCTAAGTTGCCGTTGCATTGCTGCCACACTTCTTGTCAGAATAACTTGACATTTGTCTTGTGGTTCTTGAGGTTTTCTCACGCCTCGGGTTCTAGCTGAAGCAGATTGGCATAAAGGTGTTCTGCATGTCGACTGCGTTTTTATGTTCACTCGTTGACATGACTGCCGGAGGCCAATTTCTAAATATCGGACGACGGAGCTCCACACCTCCTCGCGTCTTGCCTTCACTATAATGCCGTGACAAAGAAGCTGGCTCCAAGCACGCACCAATTGAGAAGGAATGTGATAAAGGAACGTTTTTGCCGTTGAACCTGCAGCCTTCCTCCAATACGATTTCCTGTTCAGGTTCACCTTTTCGCATCTACTGCGAGATCCTGACAAAGAGATCGAATTGCACCTGCCCATCAACAAGCGTTTGGTGATCCTCGGAACTTTAATGTGTGAAACGACCATGGACTTCACAAGCGAATGCTTTCAAACAATGGTGTCCTGTGGATGGTCGCTTTAGGATGCATGCGGACGGTTCCACGGTGACCTTCAGGCGGGAAGGGAACCCGGGGTAGGTCTCGCGGTGGTGCAAGCGCAGATTTCCCTGCAACTGCCGCGTCGTCCTACCTGCCACAGGCGGATAGAGCCTCTTCCCCTGGAGGACCACCGAGATTTTGGCTTTGTGAGCATAGCATCTCCGACAAGCGCATTGCACTTCAACTTTCTCTCAAGGAGCAGCTCAAGAATCCGAGCCAGCTGCGTTTCTTTGCAAGTGTCCCACGATTAGTCCCTTGGTTAGTTCATGGTGATTCAGGTCATAGTCATAGTCCGTCACGATCCATTGGTGAGAAGGTGTCACTTCTTGCTTGCCTCATTGCGGCAGTTCTGCTGCGTGAGCATTCATCTGCTTGGCTGTTTCTTCAACCTGTTCTGTCTGCGCCCCCTGTTCAACCAAAGCTCGTGTCACCGCAGCATTTTCAGCAGTGCAAGAGTTGCTGGTGCCAGAATCCCTGCAGCGAAACCCAGGCCAGCTGTCTTCCAGAGCCTGGCGATCACATCTTTCGCTCCCAGAGGAATACAACCAGTTTCAGCGCCGAAAAATGCTCTGCATGCTACAACTTCCTCGAGTCCAGTTTGAAGGCTTCTGGGCTGCCAGACGGGGACAACCTAACAGGCACAGTCAAGCAGTTGCTTTCTCCCACCTGCAAGAGCGTCGCTTGATCTGATGTCATGCTTTCTCTGAGGATATGAAGCAGTGCTCTACCGCAGAGACGAGTCTTGGAAAGTATACCGTTCTTCAGCGAGAAAGCTAGCAGCAAAATCAGAGCATGAACTCTTGTTCTGCTATGTTGATGGGTGGCTGTTCGGTGTGACTTGGGCAACTGGTACATATGCTTGTGATTTCAGGACTCCTGTGATTAGCGAGAAGTTGTCGCATGAATCATGAGCCATTGGAACCGCCAATCCCACGCGCAAGTCGCAAGGACGGCAAGCCTCATCCGATGCAAGCAGTTTGCCGCGAGAGTCAAGCAGGAAGGGTCGCAGCTTCTGAGAATGATTAAGACGACTAGAACTGCTTTTCCTGACACGCTAGCTTTGTTGCGTGGTGGAGTGTCTTTGCTCGGGCGCGACGTCGGCTCCGGCCGGAAGGGCAAGCATGTTTTTTGCCAGCCCAAAGGTTCTGAAACATGTACGGAGAAGCCAGTGGACACGCTTTCGATGATGCCTTTGCAGCTTGAAAACTCATTGTTTCTGAACCCGCAGAAGCGACCGCCGAAGCGGACAGGTAGACCAGTCAACTGCTTTTTGCTTTGTCACGGTTGTCCAATCTGCCAGTGGGTGCTGCATGAGATGTGGTATGCTTGGCCTGAGTCAGTCGACAGAGAGCATTGACAATATCAAGTTGAACCGTGACGCGAGAACTGGCCGCCATGAAAGCACTACGATTCAGGCCCGTGCGTCGTTTGAAGTACGTGCACATTACGGGTGCAATCACAATTCGAGTGCTGAGCTGTTTCAGCACAACAGGCGACTCAAGCGCTACAACAAATCAGGAACACGCGGTCCAACCACGTGTAAGACTTTCAGCACGTGCGATCCTGGGTTAGTTTTTGTTTATGCTTTGGTTTTTTAGAGTGTGTTTTTTTGGAGTTTATGTAGGTTTTCTGCAAATCAGATTCAACACATGGTTTAAAGCGTGGTGGTTTGAAGATCCACAAGATTTTTCGGGTTTAGGGGACAGAGTCTGTACGGTTACGGGGCTTTCGGTTGTAAGGTGTTGAGCTTCGTGTGGGATGTAGAATGTAGAGTGGAGTGCTTCAGGGTTGACGGCTGTACGAATTAATTGCGGCTTTTAGGATTTATTGTGGTGTACGCAGCGTTCGTTTCTAGCAGCTCCGTTCGAGCTTGCTGCAGTTGACAGTTGCACTATGTTGCACTTCTTATGAACGTGCTAGACTACCTTATTCGACGGTTGAGCATGTGCGATTCGACCACAGCTTAGCGAGTTTTTGGGTTTTCAGATTGCAGAGCTTTTGGGTTCAGGGGTGTTTTGCTTGCGGTTCAGGGTTTTCAGGGTCCAGGTTTTGGGGTCCAGCGTGTTGGCGAATCCACCGTGCTCAATGCATCACTTGAATCGCGTTTTTTAGTGCACGAACCCGTGCATCCAGTGTGCAAGGTGGTTCACAATCCACGCCAAACACATGCTGAGACAAGAGTTTTGCAAGTTGGTGTGGCTCTTGAGTTGAAGCTTTGCGGGCCACACTCCCAGCACCTTCTTACCCTTCCTGCAGGAGAATGACGGCGTGCAGTCGACTCTCAGGAAGAGCATGGAGCATCGGGGCAATGTGGCTTGACTCCTTGTTGAGGTTTAGGGTTTAGGGCTTTTGGGGTTCAGGGTTGAGGATGTTTAGGGTTTAGAAGTTGGGGTTTCAGGCCTTGCCTGGAACGATGCTACATGCTTTCTGCCAGAGATACTGTTCCCACCAACACCGGTGACCCGAGTGTCTCGCAAGCCCCTTCATGGGGTTCTGCCAGTTCTGTTCCAAATCTCTCATGTGCCGTCCATAGTGTTTCGTCACATGTTGCCGAACGCAACACCACCCACCTCCGAATGAGTTCTTGAAGTCGTCCATTATGCGATGCCTTTGCGCTGTTTAAAAAATTGCCGCGTTGGTGAAGTGCGGTTCTCATCATCTGCAGAATCGCACTTGTGCTGGCAAGCAGTCGCATGCTCGCCTCAGACAATTCATCTGAGGACCTCACCATGGAGCTGGCCTGGCAACTGGGTTGTCAGGCTCTGCAAGATTCCGCAAGTCTCTGACGTTGTGTTGGCTTGTCCGCTACTAGTCACGTCAAGCTCGTCAGCTGCAGGATTTGGGCTGCTGTCCACTGGATCCTGACACTGCAGAGCTGCTGGCTGCAGAGGTCTATGAGCTTGCAGGGGTTCAGGCAGTTCAGCCAGGCGGAGGTTCATCTCTCAAGAGAGGCGTGCCAGAGTTCCGAGGCGACGAGCCTCCATGCCCGAGAGAAGTTTGGCGAAGCAGCCAGGCTGGAATCTCTGGCAGAGTGCGTGCTGGACACTTGCGCTTTCCCGCAGCACAGGGCAAGACGGCACGAGGAGGTTGGACAACTCAAGCAAGAAGGGCTGGCAGTTGCTCGGTTGCTAAGCCTTGCAGCCGGTCTTTTAAAGCACAGCAGATGCGGCACTTTTCCTTCACCTTCTCATGTTTCGAACCTGAGCCACCAAGGAACATGTCTTGAAGGACCCTGACACGCGACAGCGCCTGGAAACTTTGATGAAGATGCAGGTGCTGTGCGTTTTGCGAACAGAGTTCTTGTGACTTCTTCTGATTTACACTCAATGGCTTCTCCTTCGTGCTGTTGAGTTTCGTGAATCGAATTTTTCTGCAGTGCCGCCTTCTAAACTGACTTACGGTTGATACCTGCCATACCCGACACACCTAAGTTTGATGTCTGTGATTAATTTACGGGCTGCCGCCAGTGC